CAACCATCTGCACTTCCAGTCCTAGAGGGTCCTGGAGGATTCTGGCCTCTAGGCACTCATGTGGAGCAGACATATGTGCAGATGAAACACCCATACACATTTTATGTAAATAAAGCCCAAGAAACTGGCCACATTCTTACCCATTCATTCCGTATTTCAGTGTCCCCTGAGGCTGGGAACTAGGGTGGCAAAGGTCAGGTCACCTTAGAACAGGCATATGTTTAACCACAAAGAAAAGGAACACTTGTCTCCAAAGGCCTCATGGGGGATGAACAATGCTGAAGACAAATCGGCACCTTTATCTTTAACATCACAGAGCTAAGCTTTGGAAGTGTGGGAAATCTAGGGAGCACCCCCCCCATGTGTCAGGGAGAGTTATTATAAGGACAGAGAACAGACACAGAGTCATTTGTTTGACATCTCTAGCTAAGAACTCCATTTCAGGAAGGAGAATTAGTGGCCTAATAACTCTAAATCCCGATTCCCCAAGGCAATTTGCTAATCCCCAAAGGACCTGTCAATACTGTTCTTTGGTGGAATTGAAATGTGTCTGAGCTGGAGACAGGAAATAGGCTTCCCATCTGAATAGGGAAATCATCCCTATTGGACTTTTATAAAGATGCATATTAACAAAAAGTGGTCTGTACAGGGTTAAAATTGCTGGTGAGAGATAGCCAAACAAAGGAGACGGGAGTTGGGGTGAGCAAAATGAACAGTGTTTTAATTCACAACAATGTTATTTGATAGTAAAAACACTAGACTTCAGTACAAACTCTAGATCCATCACTAGTTAGTCATGAGTATATCTGAGATCGCAGACCTCAGTGCAGATCTGTATGAAGGAGAAGATTGAGTGAGTGAGGGCAGGAGAGTTGGCTCACCCGTTAAGAGTACTGCTTTTGCAGAGGACCCCAGTTAGTTCCAGCACCCACACTTGGTAGCTCCAGAGGATCTGACACCCCCTTCTGATCTCTGTGGGCACCTGCACTTCTTACACAAACCCACACATATATATGTTCATAATTAAAAATAAGCATTTAAAATTGGTGAGCAAAGAACAGAGACAGAGCCTTTGGGGTGGGGGGACTATTAGGGCCCTTGGTCTTCCATTCTAAGCATACTGTTGCCATTGTGTTTCCTGGAGTGGAACAGGGAATCTTGTCTCCTTTCACAGTTCACAGACGCCTCCCCAAGCCCTGGACTTGCTATGATTTTTGTTGTGAAGTCATGCATCCAGGAGTTCTTCTCCACCTCCAGGCCCCTGCTGATGAAAGGAAAAGCACAAGTAGATTCAGATTTAAGGGCTCCAAAGCCCAGTAATTCGGAAGGAAGAGCCTGTAATCTCCATGGCCAGAAATAGACATTTCAATTATGGTTTCCGGGAGGGCTCTCAGAGGGCCTGCCCGTGGTATATCCAACACTACTTGGCTTTTTTCATACTATTTTCTCCTTGTGTGTATGATTTATATTCTGCTGGAAAACATCAGAACTTTCCAGAATTTCAAATTTGTTATTGTCAAGATTTATTTTTAAAGTAGTGCTGTGTTCAGCTGTAACATAAAATATGTGAGGGGAAAAAATGAGTCCTAGATGAAGCTAAACTCAAAGGGTATAATTAACCCCAGGGGTCTTCTTAAAGCAACCTGCCTATTGCTGATGAACTGCAAACCAACATTTACAAATAATTACAATATTGGTTTTTCTGAAATTGCCCATAATGATTTCAGTCACAGCAGCAGCCACCCCAGAACCTTGGGACCCCCTGAATCATTCTCTCTGCTAATGTGTTCAATTAAGCAGTGAGCCTCTTTAACTCTGAGGCACCATTGTCTCTGCAGCGCCCCCTTCCTCGCCAAGCCTGGTTTTCTACAGACAGGAAAGTGTTTTTGGCCCTGTTCCTAAACTATAAGGAAAAACATAAAGCAAGCATGTGAAGATTTGTAAGATAATTGATTAAAAATCCCTTCTCCCCAGTCGTAATGTACTTACAAAAACTTGTAGGACCATGAAATCGGTCTAAAGCTCCTCCTTAGCTGAAAATGATTTTCCTTCAGGGGTATTGTCATAGGAAAGGTTTATTCTACTCCCCAAGGACCCCACTATCTTTTTAATAATCATAACCATGTTTTTTCATTTTGCTAGAAAATCGTGTCATTCACCTTTGAGGTGTCATTGCCTGAAAGACAACTTCTAGAGCTCAATACAACATATATTTGTATATTTGTATGATTAATCATAGGCAAAGCTTTCTAAATGATACCCTGAATACTATATGATATAAAATGTTCTGCACTCTGAGAGAAATAAATATGTATCTGAAAAACCTTGTCAGATAGAATGATAGCTAATTCTACTGTTTTGAGTAGGGTAAATGTTAGAGCTGCAGTACAGTTTTTAGGGGTTGTTTTGAGATTCCAATTATATGCATATATTTTTCTGAAACAAATTCAGAGATAAGAGACTGCCTTCAGCAGGGCTGCTGGGTTCTTCGGGGACTCCTGGGAGAGTTGCCTGTTCATTTACATGCCATTAAAGGGACTTGGAAGTCTCTCTTCAAGGACAAGAATACTCTTCAAGAAAACTTTCCAAAATTGTAAAGCAAGAAGTTGACAACAGTGTGTCTTCGAGATACAGAGCTGTTGATCTTAGGGTGTGTCTCATGACAAAAAGTTGGCTGAAGGCCATTTATTGTGTCTTCCACCCCCATGGTGTTGGGAGGAATAACCAAGGCAAAGTTGGTAATTCCCTAAGTTAACCCATGCAGGGATGGCAGAGATGGAAGGTGCCTTAGATTTGATGCTGTACCCCCTTTTTTTTTGCAAGAGTGGAAACAAACTGAGGCAGATGATGTTTTATACCTCTCACGAGGCAGAGTTCAGAAGAGGAATTTCAGTATGTTGATTCTGCATTGAATATCCACAGTACTCTATCCTGAGAGGAAATAGTGAAGAGGAGCTGGTTGAACCACCCTCCACCTCCCTCCAAGGATGCCTCAGGCAATCACTTGCCTGGCGACTCTTTTCTTTCCTCAGCAGAGAGATACCCAGCTCCGTCCATGTTGTGATTCTCAGTGCAGAAAGCTATATTTCCATTCAGTCCGAACCACCAACCATCCCTGTTAGCCTAGGATTAAGGAGTTTCCTGGGATATTGAACTTCCAATGCTGCAATGTTTACGGGTCCCTGGGATGAAGTGGTCACCTTAATTCTATCAGAGAATAGAACTTGTTGAGTTCTCTCATGGCTCCTTCAGCACTGCTGTGTTCAACACTGTAGAATCTACCAAAAAGCCCTACCTTATTCTACATTGGACTGCACTTTGAGTCCCACTGCACATTTATAATGGTATAGATACCATTGACTTATTGCCTAAGATGATAGAAGAGCTCAAAGGAATTTAAAGCACCTACATAGATTGACATATCCAAGCCAGATCTAAGTGCTTCCTCTAAATAGCTTGGGACAGTGGCTACACTCTAGCTTAAAAAAAACTGTACAAATATTTTTCTAAAGTCTATCTTGGTATTTCTATTTTTTGTGTTTCTTAAATTCCCAATTGTAGAGAACAGATAATAAGACTGATTTTTCCTAAATAACCTTCAGACATCAAGATTAGGAGTCCTCCCTGTTGCAGTATGTGTTCATCGTCATTTCTCCCCAGTTCTCAAAGCCTACTCATACACACATCTCACCAAGGATTCCTGTTACAGCAGGAGTCTGGGTTTCTAACCAGCTCCAGACAGTGTGCATGCTGTGCCCCAGGGGATATTTAGTGGGGCTCTGGGTAGCTTGTTCTCTCTCTGCTTCCACCTTTTTGAATCCAAGGGAGGAGTCTCCCAGCAACTGAACACGGAGACCAAGCTAAACTCCAACTTTCCAGCAGCCCTCCATTTATAGCCAGGGTGCAGTGTGAGGTAATTAGCTTCTCTTCCTAGTGGCAGGTCCTTTCCTGGCTCTCCTGTCACATCCCCCTTTTTTCAATAACCTGCTTAGAAAGTAAGTGGACCTCCCTATGAGACCAGGAAACATCACAGAGTTTGGTTCTCTCTGGAATTCCTGGTTCCTCACAAGCACAGAGTTTTAAGTTCAACCGTACATTACACATCTCTTCATTTGCTGCTTTAGTGTATGCTTGAAGTTTCTGGTCCAGTAGATCAGCATGATGCTACAGAGCCATCCTGGCTCTCTCTGATTTATCACATACAGGTTCATCCTCCTTCTTTCTTCCACTTGGATTCACAGTGCTACCATCCAAGTGAGCGTTAACTCCAAATAAAGTGAAACAAGCAACTCTGTTTTTCTTATTGTAAAAATGCTAAAGCCATTTCCCCCCCTCTCTCCCCTCACAAAGAAAAAGCTGGCAATGATTGTTGCTTTAATACATTAAAGAGCCAAAGATTATCGCTCACTTGACTGAGCTGTAAATGTAGTTACATTCACAGGAAACTTGCCTGTGGCAATTTGTGTTTTATTTAGCCACAATTGGAAACGTATTTTTAAGTGATCCTAAGGAATAAAATTTAATTCATGAAAAGCTAGTTGCAAGAACAGCATCATTCACTCCCATCAGTGACCAAGCCCTCGGGACTCTAGGGTGAGTTATGATGTACCCAGGGATAAAAACACAGGGCTATTCTGAAAAGTAATCCCATGTTTTAAAATTTGCTATTCAGACCTGCTTACATATTTCAGGCACTCTGTCAAGATATGTCAGGTTTATAGAAATCAAACCTGCAGAGGTGGGGGAGGAAATATGAGTACTGGTGAAAGACAGGAAAAGAACTGTGTTCGTAGGGAATGTTTTCCAGAACATTTCCACAAAGCACCCTCAGCTAAGACTGAAAGAGGCAGCCAAGTGGGGTTTGAAGTTCTAAATTCATTGCTTTTTAACCATTTGAATTTCTGAAAAAAGCAAGAAAAGTGCCCAGCCCCACCTCATCACTCCATCCCACTTCTCATTCCATGGACCCAGATTTCATGGGAATTTGCTGGCTATTTCAGGGGAACCCAGTGCACCCAAGCTGGAAGGGCAGATGGGAGAGGATGGGAACTCCATCAAGGTGAACCTGATCAAGCAGGATGACGGAGGCTCCCCAATCAGACACTATCTGGTCAAGTACCGAGCGGTGAGTAGCCTCCATCCTCAGACTCCCTTTCCTCACCCTGGGACCCAACCTTGTTGGACCAAGAACTCAAGAATACCAGGTGAGGCGAGGCTCCCACTGGGTACCTTGCAGGAGGCTCATGGAACTTGGCCAAGGTTTTCAATCCCAAGACTAACCTACAGCTGTTAGGCTACGCCCACAGTGGGACCATTTGAAAACTGCTATGATTGGGATAGTGAGAACATCACCGTATTTCTGATTCTTTCAGTTTTTCTATAAAACGTTTTTCCATAATCCAGGACTTCTGTGAAAAATTGTCATGCTGCCTTCTAACAATCACAACTTTTGATAGTGTGTCTCCTGGACCAAGTGCTGTATCCAGACATATTTCTTGCATAGAACCCTATGAAGTGGGTGTCACAGTTAGCCCCCACATTACAGATGAAGCAACTAGACAGCTACAACAGCCAGTAACTGATGTTCTCATCCATATGGGTGAGGCCAAGTTTGAATCTAGTCCCATCTAGCTGAGGAACGTAGGCTCTCGCCTGGCTTTACTTAAAAACCAGACCCAAAGCTGGATGCCCTGCCTGCTCTTCCAGGCACCTCAACTTGGCTAACTGCTAACAATCAGGGTGACTCTAAGCTTTCCCCAGGGGCTCACTCACCACTTACCTAAGATCTCTAATAGTCCAACTTTCATCCCCACCCCCACCCCCAAACTGAGAATCACTCTCTCCTTTTCTAGTTTCAGAATGACATTTGGCAAGTAGTTGCAGCCTGGGGTAGGGGGTGTCTCTGGGTTCTGGGAATAACCTGTTGCTAAGATTTCTTAGTAGTTGGAGGTAATGGACCAGAGAGCAGGCAGGAAGTTTGCTCATCTCTACCTCTCCTGGGAACAGCTCCCACAGAAATGGCATGCGTGTCCAGCATAGAACCCTACAGGCATGCACACCTTGTAGCAAGGGATGGGGACACGACACAGACAGACAGACAGACAGACAGACAGACAGACAGACAGACAGACAGACAGACAGACAGACAGACAGACAGACAGACAGACAGACAGACAGACAGACAGACAGACAGACAGACAGACAGACAGACAGACAGACAGACAGACAGACAGACAGACAGACAGACAGACAGACAGACAGACAGACAGACAGACAGACAGACAGACAGACAGACAGACAGACAGACAGACCTTTGTCTACTCAGCTCTCCCAACTGATTCTCAGAGGATCTGGCATAGTAGGAGAAGCCTCAACAAACTTCCTTAAGAGTCAGCCTAGAGATACAACTATATAGGAGGTCCTGTAGTTTGTTACTACAGGGAAAGATGTCAAGGCTTGCCAGGTGGCCCTGAACAACCTAGTTGGAGCAGGTGCTATGGTAGGGTGGAATGCCTCTGGCCATTATGAGCCTGAATGGCACCAAATTCCAGCTTTGCCATTTGCCAGCATGTGATCTGAAGGACAGATAATTTCATCTTCCCAAACCTCCTTTGCCCAATCTGAAAAATAGGAATAAAATAACTTTAGCTGCCAGATTAGTTATAATATATGTAGGGATCCCAAAAATGTCCCAGACACTTTGAAACCACTGTAAAATCTCTCCCATAGGAAGACAACCTCAGGGTCTATTTGCCTGACCGGTCACTGAGACTGTGTTTAACAGACAGAGGAACAAAATGCTGAGCTATTTTAGATTTCAATGACTTTAGCCATCCTCTTCCACTTTGAAGCTTCTTGTTTGCTAAATGCAATCGCATATTATTAATATGTATTACATAACATAAAGTTTGCTTTCCTGAGTGTTTGCTTCCTCGTCTGGTTGTCTCTTTTGTAATGATGTTTGCCGAGGAAGACAGAGAAAGAAGAGCAAAGAGAGACAGCCCAGCTTCTTTGTTTTAAATTAAAACAGCACCATAGCAACATGTGCAGAGCTAACTTACAGCACAGTCCAGGCTGCCTGTTTAGATTATAGGACACTAGAATCCCCTCTGAGCAATTTCCCACAATACTAGCAGCCCTGGAATGAGCACTAAAGACATCTTTGTGGCTGATCAGAACTGCTTTGCCCCATAAAACGTCTTCCTCCAGCTCCTGGTGGCCACACCAGGACCTGCAGTGGTCACCTCTTTCCTGATACTGTTGCCATGTTTTACTCCCCTGTTTAATACATATTTGCCACTCCCTACAGGTGCCCAGCATGTACCTGAGGCATATGTAGCTTTTTGAAAAGGCCAGAGACTATGACTTGCAACTAGAAAACCACTAAAGATTTCTCAGGAGGACTTGAGGCCTCTCCCACAGTTTTGTTATGCAGGTGGTTGCCTAGCAATGGCTTTGGAAACTCCCTTCCAGTACAAACTCATTGGCCAGCTTGAATGATATACCTAGAGGGAAGGTTGGGTGAAAAGGGGGATAATCTACAGAATTTTGCATCTCTCCTTATGCCCTGGCAACATGTGGGATACTCCATATGAGCCCAATGAACAACCCGCACTTGTTCAGCCACAATGAGGCCAGGCAGCACGACAGGGAATAGAAAATCCAAGTTCAGTTCAACTCATGTTTGCTGGGCTCCCTGTTATGAAAGGGAAAATGCAGTCTGGGGCTTGCACAGTCTGGGCTCCAACCTTGACTGCAGGGTGACTTTGGGAAGTCACCTAACCTCTTACTCATGCCCCTATAATCAGATCTAGTAAGAGCCTGAAGTGATGCCCAGAAGGTTTGCCATAGGGAAGTGATGAGAAATGACATAGGCAGCCCTAACTCCAGAGCCTAGCCTATAGAAGATACTCAGTAAATGATGGTTTGTATTTTTAGTAAAACTGAAACATATGCAATATTTACCTGTCAGAATGTGGGCAGCATTCTGAAATATAATGAGAAACATTTAACTCCTCTAAGAAGCCCTTATGTCATCTACCTAGCATTCCAGAGGATAGAGGAGGTAGGGTAGGTGGGGGACAGTGTGGGAACTCCTGTCAGTCCTGAGTTGGGATAGTGAACTCAAAACCATGTCACACTGATATTCCTTACTGTTGATGTGGACAAGTATACTAGGTGGATCCCCAGTATGGAAAATCCTCATTGGTTCCTATTTTGACCTTTTAACCCCATGGTTTTCAGTCCCCCTGAGTTTGTGCCTCTTAGCCAGTCTCTCCAGCATTCTCACTCAAGCTCCCTGGTGTCTTCTGTCCTTCCTGCTGGCTGTCCCCAGAAGCTTGCCTCTGAGTGGAAACCAGAAATCCGGCTCCCTTCCGGCAGTGACCACGTCATGCTCAAGTCCCTGGACTGGAACGCCGAGTATGAAGTATCTGTGGTAGCTGAGAATCAGCAAGGAAAATCCAAGGCAGCTCACTTTGTGTTCAAGACCTTAGCCCAGCCCACAGCCATCCCAGGTACAGCCATCTGTGTTTTCTGTTTGTTTCCCGCTTTGAATTAATGCACACATGCCGCGCCTCCTAATGCGCCTGAACAACCCTGACAACTCGCTTGCTTACAGCCATCCTCATGACTGGTTGCTCATGCCAAGCTTAGTTTTGCCTTAGCCCCATCTATGCAGTGGGTTGACATGTACAAGACCCCCAGGAAAGTTTTACCAAATATCCTGGGGGAAGGGTCCTGTCTCATTTGGCCTTGAAATATCAACGCTAACCAGTCTATGGGACTTCCTCCAATGGGAAAACGCCCCAACTCCTGCCTTGCCTTGGACGCTGTTGAACAAGGATCCTTGATGAGACTTTCTCTGCCATCTGCATTCTATACTAGGACCACATACCTGGTTTTATGCTGTTTATATGAACCTCGCTTTCGCTGTACAACCATGGTCTAACTCTCTTCTCTCTGGTCACCCTAAGAGAAGGAATAGATGGTGCCCAGTTAGATACATACCTATCTATGAAGGACCTCTCCACTGTGCTAGAGACAAATTGAGCATTTTGGAATGGAGCAAGTGGAAAACATAGATCCTGGGAAGTACCATCAATGGAAGGGCAGCCAGTCTGCTAGACCATGGTAGCAGCAGTGCTCCTAGGAAATGCAGATTCGTCTATAGGATCCAGGACCAACTCAAGTGTGGGAATAAAGTGAGAGCTCTGATTTTCGGCCCGGATACCTTGTCCTAATGGCCAGTCCCCTAATTAGTCAAAGTCCTCTGAGAGGATTCAGCCATCACTTTGCCTTTCCAGAGCCAGCCAAATGCCAAACACAGGCGGGAGAGATGGTCAAAGAGCATGTAGATGCAGCCTTTTGGAGGTGGTCCTCTGTGCTCTATAATGTTCAGGTGTGGTAGGAAGACAGCCTGTGTGGTGAGCTTACTTAGCTCCTGAGCTCCATTGTCAAGCTTGCTCCTCCCGGGGGAAAGTCAGGCCAGAAAGGGGACAGGCTGCCTGCCATGTAGGGTTATATATGCCAAAGTGGGTAGCAACAGAAGGAGATCTTGGTGTATGATTCTTTATGGTTGTTTGTGGATGAGTGGGTGTGCGTTGGGGGATAATGGAGATGAGTAGGGCCTCCAGCCAGTTGGCAGGTGAATTTTGAGCTGTAGACTAGACGCGTCAATTGGTAACTGCACTATGGGGAGGGCTTTCTTGCTCAGTTTAGGATCCCAGTACTAGAAGGAGGTTCTTGGATGTGGCTACAGGAAGTTGCCCTCATTGTATCTCAATAGGATGTCCAAATAGAGGTGGCCTTGCTTTTTCTCTGTCCCTTCTTCCCTTTGTCCTTTTGTTAGTTCTCCCTTGGAATTGAGAGTGTGATGTGTTTCCAGATCCATGCTTTTGAACCTCTTAGGATTTGTGGACTAGTGAGGCTTAAGTTAAGCCCTTTGCATCAGGCCACAAGCTAGTTCTTCCCCACAGTGAAACTTGATGGCCATGCTATGTTCCCAGGCTGGGCACTGCCAGCAACTTCTTCACCTTCTAGGTTTCCAGTGTGAGCAAGAGAAATGCTAGAGAGCGCAGCCTTATAGAATGTTATCCAGGCTCCCATGTAAGCCAGACAGGGTTAGGAAGTCCTTGCCTTGTCCACAATGACTCTGTGACTGCTGTCCAAGTGCTAAAAGGAGATGGCTCTGGCTGAACTATCCTAGCCATTTTATTGGAATTCAAGAACAAAACCTCTTTGCATTGTAAAACGAGGATTTGTGGTGGAACTCTGTGGTCTGTAGGGTGGTAGAAGGTGAGATGGTGGGGCTTGCACAGTAGAAAAACAGGTCTGCTTTGGCTCTCCAAAGACCACCCCGCATCCGCAGTGTTCTGACCATAGTGCAGCCACCCACTGCATCTCAGCCTCAACAAGCAAAAACCTAGACACAAGAAGAGCACACTCGTTGCTGGAACTAGGAGGCTTCATCTTAGTGAGAGGTAACATTCTCCTGACCTGACCCTGCTGTTCTACTGAGAAGGCTCCTGTTCTCTCACTTTAATTTCATTTGCTCGCTGGCCCCAACCCCCCAATTAACCTGCTACGCTGCTTCTGGCATTGCTGAGCTGCTGACCCGGCCTATGGTGTTGATACAGCACTGAACTCTCCTAACGTTTGTCAGCCTAACTTACTAAGTTTAATTAACCTTGGATTCTTGTTTTTTCTATATTTGACCTATTTTTTCTTTCTTTTTTTTATCTATTTTTTCCTCTGTTTCTGTCTCTGCCTTCTCTTTCCTCCCCTCCCATACCCTCCTTATGTCCGTCGTCACACTTGTCACCTTGGACGCCACTGGGACATCCCCACTGCCACATTTATGTCTCAACAACCACCTATCCTTTGGGATTCATTGCTTGACACCTGCAGCCACCTTGGGAGGAAGTTCCACCTCCTACACCTTGGTCTCATTGCTTTTCTCTGTGGTGACTCTTCTTCTGCTCTGTTAGGAACTTGAAAACACACACACACACACACACACACACACACACACACACACACAAATTATAATTGCTTAAAAGCCCAGTTCCTCTGAAAATGATCAGTTGCCCCCCTTTGAAAGATCCTTCCAGGACTACGGTTGCCCAGCCACAGCTACTGAGCAGGTGTTCTGTGTGAACAAGGAAGGTCTTGGTGATTGGAAACAGATTTACCTCCTGAGATTTTTGTCATTCGGTGATACTTTTCTGTCACTTTGTATGGATTCTTCCCCCTTTTTAATAGCAGTAAAGAAAAAGAGAGAGAATTTGAGAGATTTGAGAGATATTTCTTTCAGTACTATTTTCAAAAACAGCATAATGCAAGGTTCATGGAGAGATGCTTCTACTATCTGTTACTTGTGTTCTTGTTTTTGCTCATAAATGCAGCAGAGGAAGAATTCTAGACTTCTAAAGCTTGGCTCCGATTGTTAAAGTCACCACATGTGCCCTTCACTCTAACACTGCACCCTGCCCTCCACCTTTCAATAGGTAGTTAGCTTAGCCTGCATTTAAGTATTTAAGCACCCATGTTGTACTTAGGTATTTAAGTACCACATGTTTAGGGACCCATGTGGTGATCCACCTGGGCACTCTGCTGACATAATAGACAAGTTAAACCCCCCCTGTGACCCATGCAGTGGGAAAAGTTGAAATAGTCTATTTTCTGGAGCTGATGAACATTCTGGAAGGTGCTGTATTCTGGTGTTAGCCTGTCATCTGCTGTCTGTCTCTGTGAAGAAGGCCAAACTGTGATGTGCCCAATAGGAATGGGCTTTGGGATCTGACTCCCAACAGAGCTCTTTCTCCCACTGCACAGTAGGATGCTTCAGATGAGAACTAAACCTCAGGTCCTGGGGTCTGTGGTCCAGCCATAACCTACATCATCACCCTAAGTGCAGTATACTAGGCAGGTTGGAAGCATCCACTGTGAATCAGGCACCGTCCCCACCTTCCCCCCACTGCATGCTCCAAAGAGCACAAGGTAAGGGACTGAGAGAACACACTGTTCCCCCACAGTGTTAATACATTTGGGCAGTCTGCTCGTCAGCAATTCCAGAATGATCCAGCTTCCCTAATGGTCTCCACAGCACTTTTAAAATTATTATGAAGAGCCAGGAACTCCTGTCTGCTGTTGTGCAATTCACCCAGAAGAGGAAATGGGTGTGTCACATCGGATGCATGAGACCCAAGGCTGAATACCAGCCACTAGTGTCAGCGTGTGAACTTTGGGATGGACCTTCTAATGAATAAAAACTCCCTCCCCTGTCATTCTCCCTATCTCATCTCTGAACATCTCCACGGACGTTTAATTTATGTTCTTTTTGGTTCTTTACTTATTTCATTTCTGTGGTTACTTTTTAATGTTCAAAGACTAGCCTTTCCCTTTGGGAATCCACATGACCCTGAATTGTGGTCTGCAGGCAAAGCCAACTGTGTTGCCACCTGCCAGTATCCCAGTGTTCATCATAGAGGCTTCACAGTGCTCAGCAGCTAAAACTGACAGTGCCTCTCTCTCAGCTAGGAAGACCTCTTCCCACCAGCTCAGTGAAACAAGATGGCTCTTGGGCACAAGGCAGTACAGCAGAGAAAAGGACATGGAGCCTTGGGGCCTGATATAAGAATCACAGGTCAGTTAAGGAAAGCTGCAGGGAGGGCAAGAGAGGTCCCTCTTCTGACAGCCCTGAAGAGATGTCACATGAATTCACTCTAGGAGAACTCAGAGTCTGCCTCAGCCTCATCACCAACCCACTCACAGGAGAGGGACAGTGTCAATATTGCTAAAGGGACCTCTGGAGATTGACCCTAAATTTCCAGAGCCCTAGTGTGGTCCTGTACTCTTAGCAGACACAGGGCCCAGCTGGAAATCTTTGGGCTTATTCCATACCACTTGTAATAGTGTACTCTCCTCAACACAGCTTTAGTGTGCAGTAGCCTTGGCCAGACACTAGGTCCCTCTGAAGGCTATGACTTCTAGTCCAGCCAGGAGTCCTTAAGAGGGCAGTCCCCAGGTTGCCCCAAGGGGGTGAGCTCACCCCCACCTCTGCACTGTGAGTCAGTACAGACCATACACCATCTGCCATGAGGGTTCTCTTCTCATTTTTAGAATATTTATACAGCAGATTCAGATCATGTTTTTCTACTAATAAGAATGCTAATGTCATTGTGTAGATAATCAGCAAGACTTTATGAAGTTTACACCTTTGCGTTATTAAAGGATATAACAGTTCATGTAAACTCAACAGCGTGTTTTGATTTTCTTTGACATTTGTGACCAACACAGTACACCTCATGTGTACTGGATAACTGATTACCAGAAGAGACATTTAAATTAGACCCCACACTTGGTGAGGATCGTTCTAGTCAAAGGCATTTTTCCATGAAAATTATTATGCTATTCTAAATGATCCTGAAGGTGTCAGGTTCCTGTTGCCTAGGAATCCTCAGCAGACAATGAGAGAAGAATGAGTCTTTGCAAAATTGGGGAGATAGTCACTCTGAAGATGAGGTCAGGGGTAGCATCAGATGCGGAGCTCTCTAGCAAAGTCTTATGGTTATATAGCAACATTTCTCCATATACTTCACCAACAGGGAAGAAAGCAAGAATCCCATGAAACATTTATTACATCCAAATGTTAAGTCCTTATGCTTAGTGAGACTCCAAACCCAGTGAAATGGAGACAAAGTACATATATATATATATATATATATATATATATATATATATATATAAATAGAAACTGACCAAAGCATAGCCAGCTCCAGGAAGGAGCAATCGACGTATAAGGGGCTTCTTAGGAAACTAGCCCTGGAATTCAACCATTCTGGTAGCCTGGCCTGACAGTCATATTGGGACTAGGACTTCAGCACCTAGGGAGCCATGGTACAATGACTCAGATCCAGTTGGTCACCTGGAAAATGTGAGATCCATTTAAAGGCATAGGAAAATGGGTATTTATAAGTCGAAGCCTTGGAGAAAGCCAGCTGAATGCCAAAACTTCTTTGAATGCCAAACTCTCAAGCTAGGAACCAAAGAAAAGAGACAGCCCCAGCCATGCACTGCTTGGGACAGCTCTTACCTAGGAGGATGTGGGGAAGTTACCCTCCAAGAAGCCTTTTTTTTTATGTGAAAGGCACTTAGTTGGGCTTGTCACAGAGGGTAAGAGGGAGATCATGGCAAAGATAGATGTCCGAAAAGTTTTCAATGCTTTGTTTTGTTGTTTGCATTTGCTTTTCCTTTTATGGCCCGTTCAATGCAATACAGGATCTAGACCTTGTCCTACTAGTTTTCCTGGACTAAACTATTCTGTCACATCCACAAGGATGTGAATGTCTCCTGACTCCAGTACCCTTTCATCTGTATTCTGGGCATTCTGGGCTAGAATTGAAATTTGTAATTAGGAACAGTGGAATGACACAACCCCTAGAGAAGCACTCCAGTACTTGGGCAAGGCATCCTAGTGCAGAGAGAAGACAGGTTACACAAGAGATGAAGAATGGTGGCCAGGTGTGGTGGTCCACACCTGTAATCCCAGCTCCCAGGAAGTGAGGGCAAAAGGGTCAGAGCCGTTAGCCAGTGAGATCCTGTCTCAAAACTCCAACATTATCAAAAGGAAAATGGCAGCCCACATGCCAGTACCACTTATTCTGAGTTGGCCTTCCCTCCCCTAGTTTCGAGGTATGACACAATTAGTAAGCTGATGGAACAGATTTAGCAGTTGACAAAGTATAGTCACCTGATTGTGGAGACAGTTGGAGCCAATTCGCAAGTACTGTTAGTTGTAGTTCTTGCAGCCAGTCCAAGACCTGGGTAGTCTCGGTTCCTTGGGAGCACTGGAAACATGAGACAAGGTCTAATGGTAGAATGGAGTTGCACTTGAAGAATTAATGAGTGAGGAGTGCCCTATGTCAATCTGAGGCTATTGCCTCCACGATGACTTCCATTGGCAGAACTCTGTTCAGTGTTTTGCTTCTCACAATACCACTATTTACAGGAGTCAGGAGGTTCCTCTCAGAAAACTGATGTCAGTGGGGCCACATAGGGCCAGGATACTTCTATGAGAGAATCTGTAGGTCAAGGTCTTGGAGGGCTGCTGATGGACACCAGGGGAACTAGACACAGAAAACCCAGCCAGAAGTAGGATGCTGGGTACTGTTGGGGTGGGAGAAAGTGACTTGGTGGACGTTTGTCCTGTGCATGGGTATGACTGTCTGTGAGAATGTTCAAATCTGGGTAAGTCTACAGGTTTTCCTGAAGCCTGATCCCAGCATGCCTGGCTCCCACATGGTGAGTATTCCCAGACCCTTCGCCATACTGGTGGGGCCTGGGGAGGCTGCTGTGTCTCAGGAGTTTCATGGGTTACATTCAGCCTCCTGGGACACGAAAAGAAAGGGTAAAATGAGACCCCAGTTCCCTCATAATTAATGTCCTTTGTATTTACTCTTCAATTGTGGAGAGGAAGTAGAATCATTTGTTGGGCATCCCATTGGGCCTGATATTTCTGCAAAACCCAAAGCAGTCCTGGGAACTCCATATGGGCCCCTGTCTATCACCCTGCTTAAAGCCACAGAACAGACAGCAGCCTCTGCCTGACTGGGCCAGAAAACCTTTTGCATTGGTCCAGAGACACAGCAGGGCCCTTCTGGAGTCACTGTCATTTGGTGTCTTCAAACACTGCCTGTCTGGGCCCAGTCTGCTTCCAGGATTGATGAAGATCACTTGAGCATATGCCTTACAGATGAGGTTCAGGGTTAGGGACAAGAATGAAGGCATAGCTCACAATCCCCTCTCTTCATCTTAATTTGTGGGAGCCCCCAGACCCTGTCTCCTGGGTGAGATAAGGTTATCATGCCCCATCTAAAAGGTGCAGAGGACCTTTTGTCTCTGCACCAGGCATAAGAAGGCCCTTGGGAAGGTACCACTGGTCACAAATGCCTTGGTTTTATGCTCAGGGTCCTACTCCATCCACAGGGATGTTGTCCATAGGGTGTGGGGGGCTCATACACAAGCCTACTAACCACTGACTATCTCTCTCCTACTTAAGCCAATGGCAGCCCTACCCCAGGCCTGAGCACCGGCGCCATCGTGGGCATCCTCATTGTCATCTTCGTCCTGCTCCTGGTGGTCATGGACATCACCTGCTACTTCTTGAACAAGTGTGGCCTGCTCATGTGCATCGCTGTCAACCTGTGTGGCAAAGCTGGGCCTGGAGCCAAGGGAAAAGACATGGAGGAGGGCAAGGCTGCTTTCTCGTGAGTGCAAAGCTATTGAGTCTGTGGGGTCTAGGCTCTGCCTCAGCCCGGGGCCTAACACTGCGCTATCCCAGAGTGCTGTGGTGACCTACCCTTTAGCTTTATTTTTTACCCACATGCCAACTCGGAGTGGTTAAACCATCAAAGCAAATCTCTCTAAGCATGGGTTTAAGGCAAGGTGGGATCACTAGTTTGAAATGCAGTGTCTTGGATCCACCCTGGGTTTAAACTCTCATAAAGATTTGAAAACCCCTGAGGGGGTCAAGAGAGGGGGGCTTGTCAGAATTAGACCTGGAGAGGAGCTATGATGGAGGAAACCATCATTGGAAGTACGCACTTAACCTCTCGTTCATTCATTCACCACTACAAGTGTTTATCCTGCATCTACTGAGGGCAAGACCTTGTATCCTGACTGTGTGGTATCATAGGGAGAAAAATGAATATAGATTCCTCTCCTCTTGGAGGAACAACCTATATATTCTTCCCTCCTGCAGCATCTGGATCTAGTGAGCAGGAGATTTTGAAGTCTCTGGGTGAGCATGCCCGTTGTAGCAAGCTGAGAAAGGATGGAGTGGGAAGATAAGTTGTTTAGCACTCCCACATGCTAGTAACTGTATATATACACATACATATATGCACATGGACTTATATATGTGTGTGCACAGTTACAAATGCATGTGTTTGCATGCATACATATGTGTGCACACATGTTCACTTTGGAGCCTTACCTGCACTGTCCTAAAAACTTTACATGAATGATCTCATTTATTCTCATGGGCAGGTGAGCTATAAATTATTACTTACCCTAATTTACGGATGGGAGAACTCAGGTAGGGCTGATGACCTTATATACTCTTGGCTAGGCTGGTGCAGAGACAGTAATCTGTCCCACTTTGCCAGCCACAGGCCAGACCTTGATACACCTTGCTACAGCTTCTTTTCCTAGGTATCTTCCCTCTGAAGCCATCCTGGTGTTTAACCAGCAGAACTCTCTCCACAGGAAAGATGAGTCCAAAGAACCCATCGTGGAGGTCCGAACAGAGGAGGAACGGACTCCAAACCATGACGGAGGGAAGCACACAGAGCCCAACGAGACCACACCGCTGACAGAGCCAGAGTATGTGGAGTAGGAGGGACTGGCACCTCCTCAGTAGATCCCCAGTTCCACCCTACCCCAACCTTCCCTGCTTCTCACCCTTGGCTCCTGGCCAAACATGGAAGCTACCACTCTGGAGCCCTCGGTTAGAAGACCTCCTGGCCGGACCATGTCTGAACCCACTCTCCTTGGAGAGAAGGCATTCTTGCTTCTCCTTGGGTCATGATGGGTGCCTTACCAGGTTCTTCACAGAGGTGGGGTTCCCAGGACTACTCCAAAATTCCACACATACTATAGGAATGTCTTAAAATTTATTTAGGGTTTCTTAATTATCTTCTATGCTAGAAAAGTTGGAGACCTGGTGAGGTTCCCTGGCCCTCTTCTAATCAGAAACCTCAGAGATCCTCAGGGGCTCTGACCAGCTGTGTTTGTCATGCCCGCCGGGCTGTCAAGGGTCTGATTGAAGGAAGTACTTCTCACAGGAACACACATCTGTGGCTGGAAGAGCCCCTGACACATGGGAGCCATTTGGAGCACTGATCCTCCTCATCTGGCCCCATCCCTGCTTAGAAATAACTGTAAGGTAGCTGGACCCCATGTCTATGGGGCTCCAGAAATCTAAAGAGGTATATGATGGACATCTGCTGCCTTCACTGGAGTGGAGATCCAGGGTGGCGCAAGAGAACACTTGAGAGATCTGTAGGGGATTAGAGCCCTGTACTGAGAGCTGAGGGGGCATCAGCATGGAGGAAGGCTAGCAGGTCCCTTTGAGACTACCACGTTCTTTGTTGTCTCCTGTGTCCTCTTCTGCCCGCCTGGGGCGTGTACTTCCTCTTCGTCCTTGTTTCTTTGTGGGCCCATGTTCCTGCCCGTGTGTGGTTGCATGCCCACCCACGGCTCCTCGCCCTGGCTCCTATCTAGCTTCTCTGTCATGTCTCAGCTTCATTGTCTATTCTCTTTCTACTTCCTGTCCTCCCCACAGGCTGCCTGCTGATACCACAGCCACTGTCGAGGACATGCTGCCTTCTGTCACCACCGTCACCACTAACTCTGACACTATCACCGAAACTTTTGCCACTGCTCAGAACAGCCCCACCAGTGAGACCACTACACTGACCTCCAGTATTGCCCCACCGGCCACAGCTGTGCCGGACTCAAATTCTGTGCCCACTGGTCAGGCCACCCCTTCCAAGGGGTCTGGTGTCACTGCTGCATCCTCACCCCCAGCCTCGGCCCCAAAGGTTGCTCCTCTTGTTGACCTGAGCGATACCCCAACCTCAACTCCCTCTGCTAGCAATTTGTCCTCCACTGTCCTGGCTAACCAAGGAGCTGTACTCAGCCCCAGCACCCCTGTCAACGCAGGGGAGGCCTCTAAGGTCCCTCCAGCCAGTAAGCAGTCCCCTGCTCCAACTTCCACCCCAGCTGGGGCAGCCAGCCCCTTAGCAGCAGTAGCCGCCCCTGCCACAGAAGCCCCTCAGGCCAAGCAGGAAGCCCCCAGCACCAAAGGTCCGGACCCAGAGCCCACCCAGCCTGGCGCCATGAAGAACCCTCCTGAGGCAGCCACAGCCCCTGCTAGCCCGAAGAGCAAGGCTGCCTCCGCCAGCACCACAAACCCTTCCCAGGGCGAGGACTTAAAAATGGACGAAGGGAACTTCAAGACCCCAGATATTGACCTTGCAAAGGATGTTTTTGCAGCCCTGGGCTCTCCTGCTCCTGCCACTGGGGCCAGTGGACAAGCCTCTGAGCTTGCTCCTTCCACTGCAGACAGCGCTGTGCCGCCTGCACCAGCAAAGACCGAGTACGGCCTCTCTTTGTCTGCTGTCATTGGGTTGTGTCCGTAGTGATGTGTGTTTGTGCTGTGCTATATCCTCCTTGTTTGATGTGTCCTCAGCCTCTTGCAGGGCTTCTATGAGGCAACTGTCAGCCAGGGGCCTGGAATCAGGCAGGAGCAGGGGCAGGGGCAGGCAGTGGGATGGGCAAAGCGGCTGCCTGCTCGCTAATTAGGTCATGTTAATTATGTTTCATCCTTATCATCCTAGCCATGCTTCTGTTTTCCCTGGGGACGCCTTTGCAGTTGGGCCACTAGTGAACAGAGTTTGACTAGGCACTAAGGAGGCCAAGGTGCCTTTATCTGTCATCCTGGGCCCAAGGGTGTGTGTGCTATCCAGGGCCAGGCCAAGTCCTCCTGAGAAAGGCACTGTTGTATTCAGGAAGAAAATAGGTAGCCGTGGTGAGGCGAATGTGCAAAGGGGATGCAGCCCCCAGACTGCTCTGCCACACGCTGGCTGCAGGCCCACTCCTACCCAAGACTCTCAGACAGGCAATGCCTATCTCCAAGTTCAAGTGCTCAACCTTCAGATTCCTTAAGTTTGATGCTAAATACAATGGAGTCATCTGGTATCTGCACTTGCTCCGGTGTGTCTTTAGGCTTGACTCCGTCTTGTGAGACCTGTGGAGATAGAGACATACCTAGACTTTTATAGAGGTTTATAAATGTGGCTGTCCCTTCCAATCCCTTGTAACAAGCAGGCCCACTCTAGCCTTTTGCCAACTCTGGTATCCATATTCTAGCACCCTATTCAAGCCACCATAGAGTCACCATCCTGAAACAGCATGGGATGAAGGGTTGGGGCAGGCAAAGGAGAGGTGGTTTATGATAAGGGTCCCTGGAACTGTACCCAAAGCAGAGCCTGGTACACCCCACTTATAGCAAGCTGAGCTACATACAGTGCTTCTGCTTGACGGGGGGTGGGGGTGGGGGGATACTCTTTTTCTCCTGCCCCAGGTTAATTAACACAGGGCCCCCGGGGGTGATCAAGGCAGAAGGAGGATAAGACTGTTCTCTGACTAGATCACCTCCACCTAGCTGCCCATTGAAATCACCTGGTTGCTTTTAAAATCATGGCACCCAGGATTTCTGGGGACATGCCCCAGGCATGAGCCCTTTGGAGAACTCTGAGGTGATTTCAAAGTGCGTTTGAGGTTGGATGTCAGAGCTGCAATTGAAGCCTCCCAACAAGGCCTGGGGAGAGGGGCGGTATTCACAGAGCCAGACTCTGTGACCTCAGCAACACTGTTTCTGTTTCTCTTCAGGAAGGGTCCAGTAGAAGCAAAGTCGGAGTCCCAGGAGTCAGAAGCAAAGCCAGCACCAACTGAAGTCAAGACGGTCCCCAACGATGCCACACAAACAAAAGAGAATGAGAGCAAAGCATGATGGGTACCTAGCAACAAGCAAAGATCAAAATAAAGTGACACAGCGGCTTCACCAGAGCATCCCCAAATCTCTCTCTCTCTTACACACACACACACACACACACACACACACACAC